GGAGCACTTCCAGGGCTGCATAGCATTCCAACGCAAGCTCGTCCTCGCCAATGTAAACACATCCAAACAGGAAAGAGTTCCACAAGACAAGACTATGTCGCGATCTAAGATTTTATCAAATACCCTGCGAGCGTCCATGATCAAGCTTCCACACTTGGCATACATATCAACCAGACTGCTGGATCTCTCTCCAGGCCAAGCTGCGAGATCCACGAGTGGATTTTCATTGCTTTCTTGAGATTCTACGTCTAAATCCCATTTTCTTCTCGGTGATTACGCTACAAGCCTTGATAGCGGCGAGACAAGCTAAACGATCGGGTTTAAATCCTTGTTCTTGCATGGAAGAGAAGAGAAGGAAAGCTTCGTCTCCATCTTGGCTCTCGTGAGCATAGCCTGTGATGATCGATGTCCAGGAAACGATGTCGTGCTGCTCCATCGAATCAAACACCCTGCGAGCATCTTCTAGACTTTCACACTTGCCATACAAGTCCACCATCGCGTTTGCCAAGTGTATGGCAAACGACGCCTCCAACTTGAAGCCGCGAGAGTTTGATGCATGAGAGTGAATCGCCAAAGCTCGTTTCAAGCTCTTGATCTTCACAGCCAACGACGCATCAATCTCCTCTCGCGCAGCCAGACTAGAGCAAGTTTTGATAGCCATGAGAAAACTCGAGCAATCTGGATTGATCATAGCAGCTTCCATCTGCGAGAAGAGCTCGAGAGCCAAATCTTCCTGCCGGTTTGAGCGTATCCCAGAACCAATACCGTCCCGTGTGTTCTCAATCCCATCGCCGAGAGTTTCTCATTTGGCATTCCAGGAAATGTTCACTTAAACATGGATACCTTTAAAATAAAAGATGCTTAAACTAAGATTCTGTCTTTACAAACAAGCCCTAGAGCTCATTCGAGATGGTTAAACGTGAGCATGAGTGCGAGCATAATTTGAAGAATTGTGTCCACAAGAAACCTAAGCAAGGGATGGAATACCACACAGTCCTGGATGAGAAACTCTGTGAGGAACACCCAGCACTGGTAGAGAAATATAAACTAGAGAAATCGATTGGGGGTGGAGGGCAAGCGACGGTGTACAAGGCATTCTGAAGGAGTGATGGGAAGGTTTTTGTGATCAAGACAGTCCATGGGCCCGATGGGCTGTTTGAAGCTCGGCTGATGGCTATGCTGGAGGTGTCACTCAAGGGTCTCGATGAGCAGGGGCTCGTCCACTTCGAGCAGCTCATACGAGAAGAGCCCAATCAGTACGGGGAGGTGTACCACCTTGTTCTTGAGCTGTGCAATTGCAGCCTTCAGGACCGGATCAAGTACAAGGGGCAGCTTGATGAGGAAGAATCTGCAAAGATCGTCATAGCTCTTGCCAAGACGCTAAAGAGGGTTCATGACAACGAGATCATCCACTGCGACCTGAAGCCCGCGAATGTTTTGCTGAAGTACCCGCGGCCTGGGAAGTTCTATGTCCCAAAGGTGTCCGACTTTGGGATGGCTTGCTGGATGGAGGATCTGTGGAACGAGCGTGGGGCTGAGACGTGGGATTATATGTCCCCCGAAGCGATGCTCGATAGGCGCTATATCACAGCCAGCGATGTGTGGGGCTTAGGGATGCTGCTTTACACTTGTCTCACGGCAACTTGTCCATTCCCAAATATGGATGTGGAGGTGGTATTTAAGAATGCACGCAAGCGAGATCGAAGTTTAAAGAACCTCCATCACAATTCTATGGATTGGGATAGCATTCCATCCCTTTCTGCAAGGCAGCTTATCCAAGGCATGACAGAATTGGATCCCGGAAGGAGGTTTGCTTTGGAAAAGGTCCTCGAACATGAGTGGATAAAGAAATATTTATAAAAATGATGTTGCTCTTACATAAGGACCATGTAAATCTGCTAATGTGTGAATTAAAAAAAATATAAAAAATTGCTCTTACAAATTCTTTTTCTGCGGAGGAGCCGCACAAAAAGCCTTGATGATGGTCCACCATTGGCGGGATATCAACTGCTCTGCAGCATCAGGCTGGCCCCCACTTCCATTGAAAAGGAGAGAGCTCTTTTGTTTCATCTTGGCAATAGGAGATGAAGCATGGGCTGCTCCAGATGCTTCAATCCAGCAAAGTCTGCAAGGATTTTGGAGCACCACCAGCTTGCTGCTCCAAACTGCAGTTTTGTGTGTTGCGTTTCTTGTTAGTTCCAAGGAGAGATGGTCCAACTTGAAAGCTTTGATGTAATCTTGTAATAAATTGCCACGTGTTGCATCGCTTGGTTTGTTTAATAATCAAATAAAGTTTATAATTATAAGCATGTTTGTA